GGCCCCATTCACTTTCCGTAGTAAATAAACTAATAGAATATTTAAGAGTCAAAGTTTGACACAAAGAAACGATTATTATGAGCATAGTTCAAGTCCTAGCTTCTGTATTTCTGTCTCTTCTCGCGTAACATAGCGCGCTAGGAATGGCAATACAAAAGCTCCATAAGCCGATGTGCGACATGACATATGTCAGAAGCTGCTGCGCATCGGACGGAAAAACTTTACAGAAATAAGATCAGAATGTAAGGAATGGACAATGCCATCTGTAATCAGACCCGAAAATTGCTTGACCGCATTGAAATGTCCTTGTAAGATAGTGTCAACCATAAAGAGATAAGAAACACCAGCAGCAGGAGAGAGCATGCGGAGGAGTCGTTTAAAAATTAAAAGATCCTTTTTAAGCAAAGCAGGAAAAATGATAGGAGAGCAGTATAGGATAAGAGGAAGAATGCAAGTATCGATGAATGACCACACTAAGGGTTGAGGTGCGTGAGGAACGTAACCGACGAAAGTATTAAAGAATTTTACGAACTGCAGCAAATAGGGACTCTACATGGAGTGAAAATGAAAGATTTGAGGACAAAATAATGCCAAGATCCCTGAAAGAGGAAACTTCTTTAGGAAGAATGGCAGAAGATTCAGGAATAGGAGGGGGTCGCAGTCGAAAAATACACTGAAAGGATTTTTGCTTGTTTATTATGAGACCATTTACCTCCAACCATACTAGGACAAGGTTTAGGCCATTCTTGAGAAACTGGAGGTGTGTCTGAACTTTAAGAGGGTGTCCAACAACCACATCATCAGAATACTTGACTAAAAGACAGTCATTACGGGACCTTAGATTGTCAGTGTCAGGTGAAAGGATAGAATGGAACCTTGAAGAACACCGCAGTCATTGGGAAGGATCGTAGATTACCGCTTCACAGACTGGGCAAATTGAGTGCGGGAAGCAAAATAATCGCTGAGCCAAGAGACGACCCAGCCTGGAGAGTCGCACGCGGAGGTTTTGTTAAAAAGAGGGCGCGGGGCGGTATCAAAGGCGGAAGAGTAGTCAAGAAAAGCGCATGCGTACTCTCGGCAGCCATTGTCTAATTCGTTTAGAACAGAGTGGACCACAAGAGCAACAACATCTAAAGTACTCCGTTTTGCCTTGTATGCAAATTGTAAAAGGTCGAAAAAAGTGGAAGAAAAAAGCTTTATAATATCTAGGGAAACTCTTTCAGAAAGCTTTAGTATTGCAGAGAGGCAGGCAATCGGTCGAAAAGATTTAGAACCAAAGTTAGTGGGCCTTTTAGGGATGGGAGTGATTCTCACTATACGCTATGCGTCAGGAATCTTGGATTCCATGAAAGACATACTAATTAGATGCGTTAAAATAGGGGTTATCTGAGAACTGCAAGATTAAGAAGAAAAGCCGAGACACCATCTTGTCAGGCAGCTGTTGCTCAACGGATATTTTTAAGGTGTTTTTTCTACTGTTGCCACAGACACGCTTTGGAACGTACACGGTGATAGGGTAATGTGATTTAAGGGAAGATGGTAGTCATTGTGACTAAATATAAAATTTTTATTTACGGAGTCTAAATCAGCATTCACATGCACCAGTGTGTTGCGATGGCCAGTGAGACGCTTAAGATTCTTCAAAATCTCAACAGAGGAAGAAGGGAAAGGGGGAAGGAAAAAAAGCAAAAAAATGTTGTCTAACAAACAGACTATCTAGCCTGTTAAGCTCTGTTTTCATTAAGACGGTAACATCCTTAAGACTGCCACGTGAGCCTAGTTTGTAAAAGACTCTTTTTTTACGTCTTAACGATATAAGATAGGGGGAACAAATTCTATCCGGTCACACCATTACAGTATCAAGACGACAGCAAATATCGAAAATTTCATTTAAAATGCTGTAAGGTCGGAAGAACAGGATTCAACATTCGATTGCTCGAGGAAAGCGGGATAGTTTGAGAAATGCAAGTCGGAGGCAGGAGAATATTTTCCGCGGACCTATTGCGAACCGAAACCCTTTTCTCGGGCTTGGCTAGAAGTGCACCTTTAGAAGTGGAACAGATTTGGAAGACAAAATAAAGTGGAATGATCGGAACCTGACAATGGAGCCCTAATTTTAACACAACAATGCTTGCTGTGGTTAGTCAGAATATGATCAACAGGGGCATCTGCGCGAGTATTAAATAAGCCAAGATCATCGACAACTAAAAGTGTTCGGGGACGTAAATTTACGCCATTAAAATTACCGTATAAGAGAATAAGATATCCAGAGGATAATAAAACAAGTTTTTTTGAAAGAAAGTCGAAAAAACGGGCTAGTGCACCTTCACAGGAAGAGGGGGAAATACAAATACTAACACATATAATGCCTTCAAAATTACTTAACAAAGGGGGCTTACATAGAACAACGATGAAGTCTATCAAATCATCAGACTAAGAAAATAGGGACTTACAGTCTCTACACCAAAGTTGCTTAACAAAATGGCAACACTTCCACCTCTGCCACAAGTAGAGATTTTCTATCTGTTCGAAAGTAGTAGAATGATGAGGGAGTAATAAGTTGCGAACCATTGTCGCTATTTAACTATGTCTCATGAAGGCAAGCCACTTCAGTTCTGCTGTGTTCATTTTTCGACAAAAGCAGCTCCGAATGATAGGTTCTGTGAAAAATAGAACGACAGTTTTTCTAGAAGAAGGCAGGAATTGACACTTTGTATTGACACTTTGTATTTTGTCTGGCGTTTGAATGCGAGTTGCCAGCTACACCGGTGTTTTTTCCGATGCATAGGCCGTTGTTGTGAAAAATTCAACACAGAACGATCACAAATACGACATATTGCCCGAAAAGTACAACTAGTTGCATCATGGCTATTCGTAAGTGAAATGGACGATGTTATCCCCTTCAAAAGGGTGCTAGAGTACTGCAGAGACGACCTGATTGTCTTAATTTAAACAAACAAGAGATGCAAAACAGTTCAATACACTTGATTTGGCCTTTTAATGTTTGACAATGAATTCGTCCGTTTTGCGTTTAATTCTCGTGACTTAAAAACTTCTTGAATTATGCAAATTTTTCACAGTTTCCTTATTTTTATATGGTCGCATTCATATTCAGTAAAAAAACATGCGCTTTGCAGAACGAATGTGCCGGTATTTTGTTCTGTGCTGGTGCGCTAAATATATTGCCATGCAATTTGTTTTCAGGGAAGCGATATTCATCAGGAGAATTGCATAGTATGTTTTTGTGTAGAATGAACTGGTGGTGGTGTTGGTATTGGTGGTTGTCGACTCTATAATGCAGGGTGGATAAATATTTTTCACATGGAGGATATGGGTTTTCTATGTTTAGTTTGCTGAAAATGCCGCCCTAGCGGATGTGCATGTGGCCGATAGATGCACGTGGGGTTCGATCTGTATGTTGAAGCTCCATGCACTGGTTTACCGATCTCTCAACGATGAGATCTCAGTTGACCTATGGACCCGCTGTGTGACCTGAAGATGCTTCCACAATGAAGATGTTTTGAGACTATGTCGCAATGTTGAATAAGTTGCTAGATCTGTGGGGGCTGTGGCAATACTAATGTTGCTGGTAATTGTTATCGGGGCGTTAGATGAGTGCTCACCGATGATGAGGCGGTGTTGGTCATTTTCGTCGCCGTCTACATCAAGGAAGTTGAGTTAGTTAGGTTGTTTGTAGAGTCGTTATTGGTGGTTAGTAAAGATTGTTAGTTTTTATAATTTAATTGTTCCTAATATGTTTAACGAAGCCCATACGTGCGCCAAATTTTTTTGGCATCTGGGATACGACGGAAGCGACTAGAAAATTGGGTCGAAGGTATGCGATGCTTGTGAGCTCCTGTAATGGCATTACCAGCAAAGTTTTGGGTGGCATCGTAGATTATTGTTCCAGACTTCACTGTCGATGAGAAAAGCGCCGCTCTCGGCTCCGAATGGCAGATAAGTTCATTTCTGTTCGTCCACAGTCGTGTCCTCCTCGGTTTTCTCAGTCGTATACACATTCAAACTTCAACCTACCATCCAGCCGAAAACACCATGGCTGATCTTCTTCAACTTCAATCAAAGACCGTCCTGCGTGTAACAGAAATCCAACAAACTGGTCCAAATACATGCGACTGGCTCTTCTTGGCATGAAGGAGTACTAAATTCGAACTGGCCTGCAGCGGAAATCAATTAGCTTCTGCCTCTGCCCTCCGGAGAACTAGGCGAGGTAAAAACCGAAGAGATCTGACAACTCAGTTTATCTTTTCTGTTGATTAAGGCTGCGAACTATACGTAACGAGCATTTTATCTAAAAGGTTTAATAGACCTTGCTCACGTGTGCAACCATTTGCACCGTACGCATTTGCTGATGGAATCGTTATATAAATGACCGATTCTTGATATTCGCCGGTTATATGAAGACGTGACCGACGGTGAACCGGTTGGAAGGCACCTGCAGACCTGGCTTAAGGAGAAAAATACCCTTTTATATTACTCCTGTCCCTTAACCCTTGCCCTCGCTCCCCCTGTTCTGCGCATCTATAGCTCCGAAAATTTCTTTGTCACCTCGTTCGAAGCCGGCTGCGTACCCGCCGACTGGAAATCTGCGCGGATCACACCACTGTATAAAGGTGTCAGCAAGGCCTCTGCAAACAAATACAGGCCAATTAGCCTCACATCCATCTGCTGCAAAATCATGGAAAAAATAATCAAGCGAGAGCTGATGCGCTTCCTAGATCAGCATAATTTATTATCTGATTCACAGCGTGGGTTTCGTAGTGGCAGGTCTTGCGTGACTAACTTGCTCAGCTGTTTGAAACGTTGGACTCGGTCAGTTGATGAATAGAAAGATAGATGATTTTTATTAAAGACCCGTCGGGGTCCCATCAAAGCTTTGGCTGCATGTAGTCTATACCGACTTTAAAAAAGCATTTGAAAGCGTTCCACATAGGCGACTTCTGCACAAACTGAGCTGAACAGGCGTTATGGTAACCCCTAAAATGGATTCAAAACTTCCCACTGGACTGTCCTCAAACTGTCCATGTCGGCGGTCAGCAGTCGACGGCGGTGTTCTCCAAGGCTCAGTTTTTGGTCGCAGTCTGTTCATTATTCACCTCAACGATTGCGTGACTGAACTTGATTGTGGTGTCACCATTTTCACAGATGATATTAAGCTCTGGAGCGTTATTCGAAATGCGGATGACGAAGAGCGTTTGCAGATGAACCTAGACCGACTTGAACAGTGGTCAAAGGACTGGCTTCTGCCGTTCAATGAGAAAAAGTGCAATATTCTACGAGTCGGCAGAGCTCGCTCTCCGAACCATATGACCTACTGTCTGAATGGCATACCACTGCAGGAAGTGGACTCGCAGAAGGACTTCGGAGTATGGATTACGACCTCGCTCAAACTCTCTCTTCACTGCACAAGGCTAGCCAAGTCTGAAATGTTAGTCGTCTACCTTGTTATGCGGGCCTTCTCCGCCTTTGATAAAGACAACTTCGTTAAAGTCTTTCTTACGTTTGTGCGGCCGTAATTGGAATTTGCTATCCAAGCTTAAAGACCCTGGACAGCGAAGAACATCGGCATCCTTGAAAGGGTTCAAAGGCGTGCAACGAAACTTGTTGCAGGACAGGGTTCACTTCGATATGTAACGCGGTTAGCTAACCCTGACCTCTTTCCCTTGAGTTACAGGCATTTACGGGGTGACCTGATACAAGCCTTCCGTATCATACGCGGCCAGGACTGCAGCCTCGTATCGGGGGACTTCTTCGTGTTAGCAACCACCACAAACTTACGAGGCCATCCATTCAAACTACGTGTGACAGAGGCTAGGCTGGGCACACGAAAATTCTTCTTTTCTAACAGAGTGCTAGAAGTTTGGAACGCCCTGCCTGTGGATGTCGCTATGTCTACTTCCGTCGAGGTCTTTAAGAGGAAGCTGGATTTATATAGCAGTGTCCATTAACTTACCACCCTACCTCTGTAAAGTTGACAAATCCCATTCTTATAATTCTACTTGCTATATTTCAGTAACATTTTAAATTGAATTTTTTATTGTCTCCAACCCATCGCCTACGCATACTGACATGCACCTATGCAAATTTTGTCATCGGGTGTATCATTTATTTCGCTGCACTCGAAACGACGGCTGTACAACTACTCGTACCATTAACATTCGAGGCAGTTTATTTGTCTGTACAGAGCTGACGGTTTTCCGATTAGTTGTTACCTTTATCATACCATTTCCAGTTTTTGAGATTTTTGAGTTACTTGTAAACAAATAGGGGGTACAAAGGTGGAGACCTACATTTTCCTCAGTAAAACTGAACTGACCTGAACTGAACATCATTTCAATCTAAGCCCCCTAAAACAGCACACATATGCGATTCCTCAAAGACACCTCAATTATATATCAAACGCAGTGGACACCTTGTTCATTTACCTGGCCTACCGAATGGTCACGATGTCGCGTTAGAATAATTTCTCCGGCATCACAGCACACCGCTCCTGGTCTAGCCGAAATGTAATGAGGCAGTGCGCTCCCGCCATCGCAAGTACGGCCATTTATTTAGGCCACTTTCCTTCCCCTAAACGCTCCCTATCAATCAGCGAGTTTATTCTGCGAAGAATTAGAATCAACTGGGCGAGGGCTCCAGACTCAGCAACGTCAAGTCCACCAATGATTGCCTTCACGTGGGGTTTAAACCCCAACGACACTCACTTTGCCTAAGAGGAAACGAAAGACAGCCTACGCCTTCTGGAGCCACGAAAGTGCTAACGTTAACCTGACTCGTAATTTGATTATCTTCAATATCTTAACCACACTAGTTTCACAGATCTACTCCCTACACTTTCTGCCGCATTCTGGATGCAATCTCAACCTCAAGTTTTGTGAGACGATGACTACCATCTTCGGAGACCTCTTGATCAAAGGGACCGCTGGCTAAAATTGTGGACCGATATCAATTTATTTGCGTATTCACAGACATAAGAAGTCGCGTAAGTAGCATACGCTTTATGAATCTATCGAGTATGATGTAATTCAGCAGCCTTGTCTTCCAGTTCTCCGCAATGCGTCTCGTCACACCGGTATAGTGCCCTTATGTAAGTGGTTTTATCGCTGTCTGGATGGCTAATGTTAAGATGCAGTAAGTGCGTCTACATTCAGTGACCGGTCTCACAAAATATGAATGAAAATTCTCAAATGCCTTTTCGATTAAGAACAATTGCTAACGTTTGCTGTTACATTGATTAGCTCGAGGCTTAATTCTATAAAACGTCTGTTGCGTCAAGGTGGTGTCTTTTGAATGCACTTTTTGTCTACGTAGAAAACCCCGCACTTGGTGAAAATGTTTAGATAAATCTTACACATTTTTCCATTGATTTTCGATTTCTTTTCAAGTGCAAATTTCTTTTATAGAAAAAGTTAAAGCTACACGTTCATTTCCTGTGCGAATTCGGTAGCAAATCACGTTTTCTAAAAATGCAACCACATAAATGACAAAGTTCAATCTCATATTTTTCAGTTTACGATTTCTATTAAACGTAGTCTGTCGTTACATCTTCGTTTAAAATCCCAAGTCCAGAAAATGTTTTCTTTCCGACTAAGGAAAAATCAAAATGCCTTCAGACCATTATAAAAATATAGCACGGGGATCACTGAATGCTGCAACGAATGCGGCTCGTATTGTAAGTTTAACGCAAGACATTGTGAACATACGAATATTATGCCGTTTGAGTAGGCATTGCGGCTTTCTACTACTTTCGTGGTGATGCGCCTTTTTAAAACTGAGTTTAAACATGAACTCAAGAGAAAACGTGATTTGCAACCATATTAAAACGAAAAGTATAATTATATACACGGTTTTCCTTAATATTTTCAACTTTATAAGGACATCAAAAATTAATGGACAAATGCATGCTGGGCAAGCGCTCATTTTAACTGGCCGCAGTTTATGCAGGTGATTGAGAAGAAATGCATTCAAAAGTTTATCGCCTGTCGCGTGTGAGATTTTACAAGAAAATTTCAAATGGTAATCAATTGTAACATGCCAATCATGCAATCATTCCTAAACAAAACATGCTTCAGATATTCATTAAAATTTCTTACGATCGATCACTGACTGTAGCTGTTGATTTGCGCGATACGACGTAAGCAAGGGGGACGAACTAATAGCCTATCACGTCCCTCCTCGTAAATCGCATGTTTTGAAAGACGACTCCACATTCTGTTTTAATTCCAGAACCTGATCCTTTAAATTATTACGAGGGTATAATCCACACACCTTACCCAACACACCTGCCAGTGGTTTGTTAAGAAGTGAATAGAAACTCAAACCTACTTAATATTCCTTTGCTGTTCCAGTAACAACTGTCATTGCTTAAAGTGCAATTGCTGAGATGGCGCTTGGGAAGGAACTGAAACACCTCGGGTTTAAAGTTGCAAAATGCGGCTTTTCGTGTCCCAAAATTGAAAGTGCGCTAAGGTACATCTTCCAGAAAACACATCTTGCGTAATCATTATGCAGTGTTTAGATTAATCAAATTGCCCACACTCTGTGCCTTATATTTAGGTCAGTATAGGTCAGTATATTTTAAGAGTAATAGGCAATGCCTTTGAAAACCCTATTGTAAACGGTACATGCAATATCTCACTATAAATAAACATGGTACTGAAATGTTGTCAGTAATATACACATTTAACAGAATATTTTCAGTGGAAATGTAGAACCAAAACTTGAGAACATTCAGTTGTAGATGATTTCAGTATAATGTAATGAAATCCAAAATTTTACGCATAATGCCCACATGGAAAGTAATCGTAGCAAATTTCTTAGAGGCGCACTGCAAGTAAGCATTAAACTAGTAAGAAAACAAAATATGGTTTCCTTCTTACACACAAATCATGAACAAATAAATTATAACGGATCCGTCTGACATGCAATTGGCATGGCCTTATGGAAAACCTCCCACACCGTCGCCAAAACGAGAATGTCGGTCGGTTTGAGAGCGTGATTACTCCTGAAATTTATACCGCAATCAGGTACGTATTGTGCGGGCTCCATTTTCAAGTTCATTAGACTATAAAGATGAAATACTTCTGAATATTCGATGGAATCATACTCCGCACGGAATGTGGCCTTTACACTTCGCGACGCCATCCTGATTTTGGAAGCCGGTGCAGAACAGTGCGTAGAGGAGCACATGAGCGCGGCTGTGGTTTGCACAGCGACGAGAAATTCAAATTCGCACAAAAGAAAATGATGTTTTTTGTGTATGCCAGCATTTTCTTTTAAACAGCGTCCTTCATCTTCAAAAGAAAGAGCCCTGATTCGCCCGCCGGCTGATCCCGTACAGTTGGGTAAGGGAACGAAGGTGTTTTTCTTTAGATAACTTTTGATAAGTACTTTTGCTATATCCGCTATTTGGTAGCCAGCACTGGAATTACAATTTTTGCGCTCTAATTTAAAAAAGCAATTCTATGTAGAAGCATTAACAAGTATTATAACAATACGTAAATTTTGACAGCAAATATCAAGTCGTCGTGTAGGAAGATTTACATAATCCTTCTGATTGGACGATGGTTCTTCCCAGTCTTCATGCACATAGCAGACTGCCTCATTGAAATCAACATGCAGTTAGTCGTTTTGGCAATATTGGACACTGCCAGATAAGATATGAATATTACTATATATGTTGGGTCTTTATAGTACTACAAACATATTGTAAGAAATGCCTTTTATTCAAATTTACCCAAAAATACAGCATTGGCGACCTCAGCGTTATTCGAACCCATGAAAGCAAAAGTAAAGCTTGTGTAGAGACAACGGTCCGTCCACCTGAACTACAGTGTCCGACCGGGGATGGTGAGTTTATTCACATTTGGCCTCAGATACCCACCGACATTACTGCAATGATGCTTAAGAAAATTCCGAATTCACGGAGCAAAAGTCTTGTGAGGGTCGTCTTCAAAATAAAATGCCACACAAAACTGTTTTTATGACTCACTATTTTACTCACTTGTGTAATATCTCTCAAAACGAAACGGCGAGATTTTATAGGACGGCAAGCTGGCTTTTAGTTATCCTTGCACAGAAGTGCTGCAGATATTCCCTTTTCAAAAGTTCAAAGTCAGGCTGGAAAGTGCCTGCTATAGGTGATTCATCATCACGCCAATTCGGTTACACAGAAATTAAAAATTTGAGAATTTCACAAATGTCAGCAAGCGTCTTAGTGTTTATGAACACTCACTGTTTTGACGACAGACTTGTAAAGAGATGGACGATTTGTCGTACTTCGGGGTATTTGCCTAACATAATTTGTGACCGATGTACCTACTTCGAGCACGTTGAAAACCGCTCACTGACCTTGCGAGTTTAAAGCGGCGCATCATCACCATACTGGGTCAGCGTTGGCCACGGAAAAAGGAGCGACGGCGTGGAAATATCGTTAGTCCTATTTTCATTGTTAAAGTTAGCACCTGTTGGTGTAGGCCCTTAATTAATTTGACTCGTTTCCGGTAGACAACCCGAA